TCATAATATCTTCTTGTTACATTGTTGTCTTTACCGTAAGCATGAGTAGCTAAGTCTTTAAGTTGACTAATTCAAGGGAGACCCCCTCATGTGTATGTCATTTCAACTCATCTTCTTTCCTCCCCTCGGTGTACGATGGTTCGATTTGACTGGGTTGAGTGAGGACATAGTGTGAGTCTTTGATATCCCATAGACTTGTCACAGCTTATGCTTGGATCCTCACTTCTATCTTGTCCCTCATTTCCTACGAATCAATCGTTCATCTATGCACCATTGGAGGAAGGTTTCGAGTTGACTTGACATTCAACCCGTTAGATTAGCCAACACTTGTTTCCCATTTTAATTTCATCACAATCACAAACCAACTTTTAACCAACAAAGAATTTTACACTTTATTTTTACAAAAAAATCACCTTCATGATGATACACCTCCTTCCCTAAGGAAACGACCTTGGAATACGATTCCAAGTAAAACATAACAAGCAAATGTCTCTCTGCGCTTGGGGAGCATTTTTGTTCACACACACACGCACAAATATTTCATACATTTCATTCACCCACTATTCTGTTGCCCTTTCTTTTGACATCACTTCAAGGGAGAGTGACACTTTCCTCCACACATAGACTATATGCATTGAGAGATGATGTTTGAAAGTTAGGATATACTACAATGGAAACGACCAAGCATCGTAGTAGAGGCTTATAAGGTGACTACATGCATGAGAGTAGAGTCATATGGCTACCGTAGCAGAGGCTTACAAAGTGACTACGTGCACGAGAGCAGAGTCATATGGCTGTCGTAGCAAAGGCTAGATAAGGCTAAGCTTCTTTGCGACTCACGAGAGAGTGCAAAACTGGAGATATAGGCTGCTGAAGAGCAGTTGATACTTGAGTGGCAAGCTTGAGAAGATGCTGCAGAGCTGGTATGGCAAGCGCGAGAAGATGCCATGAAGCTGTTAAGGCTCGAGCGACAGGCACAAGAGGATGCCACTGAGCAGTTGAGGCCAGCGCATGAGAGGGCTGCCCCAACTTTGAGGCTGACCTTCGAATAGCACTTGAGAGAGTTACTAGAGCAGAGGCTCACTCCATAGAGATGGAGGAGATGAGAAGGGCACTGAAGAGCTGGGCGTCTAGCATTGGGCACTGTTGCTGGGCGCCTAAGGTTGGACGCCTAAGTGATGGGCGCCTAAGCCTGGGCACCGAGGGGCTCTAAGCGTCTTTGGGTGCGAACGCCAAGGAGCTCTGGACATAGACGCTACTGGGTATTGACACCGAAGGGTGTTAGGCTCTGCTGGGCGCAGATGCCAAGGGGCGATTGGTACCGCTAGACATAGACATCGAGGGGTGCTAGGCACTATTGGGCATGGACGCTGAGCGGTGTTGGTGCTAGGAATGGAGAGGTCTTTCTTGGGTGACGTGCAGAAGGTAGGCGACAGTGAGCCTAGTGGGCGACAGTGAGCCTAGTGGGCGACAGCCAGCCTGGGCGCTGTCGACCTAGGTGATGCCAACTTGGGTGCTGGCTTGGGCAGCGCCTGAAGTTGGGTGCTTGATGAGAGGGCCACTGTTGATTTCTCTAGCTTCGTCCCCTATGAGACACCAGTAGTAGTTGGTGATGGAGAGAGCCTTAATTATAGTGGTTATGGCTCACGGAGCAATGACTGATCATCGGGAATATGACGACTGTTGTCCTTTTGTTACACCTTGTCGTTAAGTCATGTTCTGACTTTTATAAGTTGTTTGTAATTTTTGGAAAAACAAGACAATTCTGGACACAATAATTTTTGCAGAATTTTATTTCATAAAATAACAGATAACAAAATAAATCAACTGAAACAATAAAGGATAGATAAAGTCTTCTGGTGTTCGGTGTCCCATAGTTGGGTCGAGGCTTTCTTGGCGGAGTTTGAGTCAACTCCTCCACCTGACCCTTAGGAGATTGTCTGAATTTCTCCGAGGGGTTGTTGGCATTCTCTGTCGTTTGGGTCTCGGCCAAGTGGCGAGGCTTGTCCTCTGCCAGCAATGTACTGTCTTAACTGGTCACGCTATATGAGCTCCTCAATCTGCCTTTTAAGATCAAAGCAATCGTCAGTATCATGGTCGTGGTCGTGGTGGAAACGGTAGTACCTGTTGGGATTTATGCGTTTTAGGGCGGACTTCATTTTTCTGGGCCAGCGAAGCATGGGGTCATCTTGTATTTGGAATAGGATATGCTCCACTGAGGCGTTGAGTGGCGTGAAAGACTGTTGTTCTCTTAGAGGTAGGGGACCAAGGCGATCCTTGGCAGAGATTTTCTCTGTCTTATTCCTCTTGTTCTCTGCTTCTCTCCTGTCTTGGCGGATATCTTTCCTCTTTTTGCCCCCATAGAAGGACTCTACTCTTCTATCCTTGGTGACATCCTCAGCGTTCATATACTTTTGTGCCATTGACAGCAACTTGGGCATGCTGGATGGTGGCTTCTTGAGGACGGAGAACATGAAACTGAAGGTGCGAAGACCAGTAATAAATGAGGTCAAAGCTACCTTATCATCTGACTCCTCAATCTGGAGAGCCTATTCGTTAAAGCAGGTGAGGTAGTCTTTGAGGCTTTCATCCCTGTCCAGGTAGTCTACTGTCTCGAGCACCTGTGCCTTGATGGCATTGAGGGCATCACCAAGTTAGTTTTGCACCTTTCTAATCTTCTTGTCCCAATGATTGGGGATATTCTCAATCGGGTGGTGGTACTGGCTTTCATGGTCTCTATATTAGCTTCCTCCGTCTTCGTTCTCTTGCACAGGTACGTGCGAAGGGGGTGCGCAAAAGCTCCTTACGTGCTGAGGAAGGACTGCCGGGCGAGGGGCGCCTTGGCGTGGCCCTGGAGTGTTCTGGTGAAGGGCCCCATGGTGGGGGTCTGCCTGGCGCCTAGAAACGACAGGCTGTTGCTCCTCGCCTGTTGGAGGGAGTGAGGCTCCTCCCACAGGGTGAGGGGCGACGCCTCCTTGGGCGAGCATCATTTGGATGATCTGCTGATTTTGGCTCACTAGCAGCTGCATGGTTTGGAGGAGTTGTTGTTGTCCAGTGGGAGTCACAGTAACAATTGGTTCCACAAGTGCAAGGGGAGGTAGAGCCTCCTCCCAATGGACAGGGTTGTTGTCTTCCGGTTGTTGACTCATTAATCGGATGATGATTGTCATGGATTGAAAGAGTAGAAAAACTAGTTGTTCCCACATACAACACCAAAACTGATATTGCATAAATCGGTATTGCGCAAAATTTACACTCAAGAATATGTAACAGGTATAGTTAATGAGCAATTAATAAGCAATCAATGGTAAAACAATAAATAAGAGCAAAACACACAGATTTATAGTGGTTCAGTTCGGGTAATCTACTCCACTCTCGGGAACGGCAACGGTGGCCGGAGATCTTTATTGATGAATAATGTCACCGGGAGAGCTAACTCTAGGAGAGTTACAATGGTGAGGAGAGATAAGCAATGTGTGTAAGAAGGTGTAGTGTGTGTAGGGATCTCAAAGTGTAGATGCCTCAAAAAGGTGATGCAAGGCGATCCCTTTATGTAAAGAGGGCTTACATTATATAGGCTTAGTAAGGCGGTGATGTGAGGGAGAATACTTCTACTATTTTAATAAGTACAGTTATGGTAGGTTAGATCTCCGAGCATATCCCGATATTCTCTCCTCGTGCTCTTATTCCGTTAGGAGGAGGATCTTAAGCTGGACCTCTTGAGTTGAGTTAGACCTCTGAGCTGGGTTGGACTTGGTTTTAACCTTGGACTTTGAGTTGGAGTATGTTTGGACTAGTCATTGAAGTCAAGAGGATGGAGGAGGACCAAGGGCAGGCTTGGGCGGCGCACAAGCCTTGGGTGGCGCCTGGCTTTGGTGACCCCCTGGGCGACACCCCCTTTGGCTCCTCTCATGGGCGTTGGCCCTTTGGTGCTTTGGGCGTTGGCTTACTTAGTACTTTAGACTTCCTTCTGATGGGTTGAGTCAACTTTGATTGAACGTTTCTTTGGTCTTTATCGATTTATTTTAATTGAGCTTAGTCAAGTCAATTTCGAGCTCATCAATATAAAACCAACTTTTATATATGATCATAACTATGAACTTATAAATCGTCTAGGAGCAAGTAATGGAGTGACCAACATTTAACAGGAAAAGGCGTTGAGCATAATTACTTATAAAAATAAATTAACACAGTCCACACAAATAAATTTCTCATGTCGATTGGGTTGATGATATTATTGAACATTTATGTCCAAATTTTGAATTTGAACAAGAAAATTTTATCCTTTTTTTTTTTTCACCAAGTTGGCAAATTGTCGTTGTCCTTTTTTGTTCCAATTCTGAATTTGATTGGGTTGCTTGGATTCGTCCAGACCTTGTCCCACCACAAAACCAGACTAAAGTGGAGAGTGATATAATGTTATAAAATGTAAGGGTATTATTTACAATAATTTGAAACTCCGAGGTATGACATTTATATCAATTAAATCCCTATTTTTTTTTTTGTCAATTCAATTTTTAAACTTTCTAATTGTGTCAATTGAACCCTTTTGTCTATCTCTATTAGAAAAAAATATTAGATGTAACCGTTACGCCATGTCAAGAATGTCACATGGTATAACGGTCCAATAATAAGTAAAATGAACCCCACTAAAACTCATAATCACTCAATTATGTCATTAATAATTAGCTCCATAATAGGAAATGAGTTTTATTTTACACTTTTTGTTCTTTTTTTGTTGGATGCTGATAAAGTATAATGGTTACACCTAATATTTACTCTTCTATTAAAGTGTGTCACTCAAATGATTATATAATATAAAAAGATAAAATAGTTCAATTGACATAATTAGGGAGTTTAAAATTTTAATTAATAAAAAAATAAAAATTTAATTGATATAAGAGTGAAGGTCATATATGTAATTTATTCTAAAAAAATAATGGAAAATAGTGCGTGGAGCGGAAGTCTAAGTCCACTTTATTCCAACCGTACTCTCCTTTTTAACCTATCTCTCTCCTTGGCCTCCTTTTGTTATTTGTGCCCCTTTATTCGGCTTCCATTCGGCCTCCATTCGGCCTCGTCGCCTTCCCTTTCGTTGGATAATTTTCTTCTTTCCAGGAGTATCTATTTTTTTCCGATCAATTAGATCTCTGCACAACCCACTTGAGCCAAAAAAAATTACAGTCAGCCATGACGCTTGGCTCAGGAGGATCGGGTGTAGTGGGTGAGTCTTCGAACCCAGGATTGTGTCTTTCGGTTTGGTGTTTGATCTTGTGTATTTTTTTTATCATTATTGTGCCGCATCTGAAGAAAGTTTTGTTAGATTTCATTTTTTTTGTATTCATGTTCTGCATAGATGTTGATGCGGGTATGGGTGAATGAGTGATGGGCCTGAAGTGTGCTGTGCTTCGATTATGAGTGTACCTAGCGATTTACGTTTTTTAATATTTTGAATGGGTTTTGATTGAAAGTTGGCATGTTGTTTTATTGGGATTTCTTGAGTGATTATTGATTTGAGGCAAATCGGCTTCTGGGTCAATAGTTTTCTGTTTGTTGTTGTATGTTTGTTTGTCTTCTGTTTGATGTGCTTCTTATATGAGTAATATGACTCGTTTGTTCTGTTATCTACGTTGTATTTAGGATGTTGGACCGAACTATGTTTATTTTGGTGAATACAGATTTGTTGGGACGGATGATGCTTGAGTTTTATAGATTGCATTTCTATAAAATTAAGCTCATTTATGCTATGCCGATTTCCAGGTCTGCGTAGAGATGATGTGAGTTGAGGATTGATGGTTGCTTTTGCATGTTTTAGCATTAAAAAAGCTTTGCTATGGATTTTTTCTCTTATCTTATTTATTCACCTTTGATTACTTTGGGATTGAGTGGTTTAAAATTTGTTTCTCAAGTAGTTTTGTTCTGTGCAGTCCCTCGAAATTTCAGATTGCTGGAGGAACTTGAACGTGGAGAAAAGGGTATTGGTGATGGCACTGTGAGCTATGGAATGGATGATGGAGATGATATTTACATGCGGTCTTGGACTGGCACCATTATTGGTCCTCATAATGTGAGCGTTTATCCCTGTTTTCCGATTGTAATATATGCTTTAGAATTGTTGGATTTTATGAAGCACTAAGCTACTTTTTGTGTGAAATTACCTATTATCTGATCTGCTTGAGACCAACATCTTATGGAACATGGGTCCCTAGTGTCTATGCTTCACCTTATTGAACTTGAGGTCTTGATTTGCTGGCTTCTGACTCTAAAAAAGAAACATGGAAGAAATTCATTGTTGGGTAAATTATGGTCGATTGAGATTTAATTCTCTTTTTTTCTTTGTGCTATGAACTCATGTTCCCATGGAAAAAGCGTAGGGCACAGTGTACTAAATGTAGGCAGAAGGAACTGGTTAGATGAAGAATAGAGACATTGCCAATCATGAAACCTGGTTTGGGGGGATGCATTCAACTGGTTTCAAGGCATATTTCCACTAAAACATCTTGTTACTTGGAGTGAATCACATTTTGCCTGTGAAAGGAAAGGTTCCCTTTCTATTTGTGGTTGGGGATATTTTTTTTTGAGATGGGGATGAGAGGTTGGAGACATGGTTACCTCTTGACATCCCCGGTATACTTCTGGTTCCACAAATGAAAAGAGGTTTGGTAAGAACTAGTGATCTCAGTCTAAGCAAATACATAGTATGTAAATTTTAACTCAGTACTTGAACTCGTAGCTTTTTTTTTGGTTGCAAATCCAACACTATTGAAGACCTTGCAGAGTTTCAGATAGTTTGACAATTCTAGTATAGCTGTGCTTATGTGAAGCGGCATTGTGAAGTTTTAAATGTAATTTTATCCTATGCTTGATCAGAATTTGTGATTTAAGTGAGATTTTGTGTGGAATCGTTCTTGTTGGAACAAAAAGCTGTTGTTTATTTGTTTACTAGTTATTACCCGTGCTTAAAGACACTGTATACCACAGAAAATGCCAAATAGATTTAATAATATACCCCTAAAATCCACACAAATTTTTGGAATGAAATATCCAAGCGGTTTAGTTGGTATCAATTTTTCTTAAAAACCAAAAGTGTTGTAATCAGTAGTTCCAACCCCCCCCCCCCCCAAAAAAAAAAAAAAAAAAAAACCCAAAAGTCCAAAATTAGTATTTTTTTTTCCTCTTCATTAATTTTTTTTATCTTGCAGTGACTACTATTGTGTCTACAAAATCAAGGAAACCAGCAATTTAGTAAAAATAGCAGATAAAGTCTACAATTGGAAGCACAGATAACTTAATTGAACACAAAACATTACCAAAAAATTTGAATACATTAGTTTTAATTGAACTTAGCACTCTATGGTAGACAATTTGAGTTCTTTCACTAAAACAATGTAATAAACACCTTGTCCACATGTCTACGCCACTTTTAAAAATCACACTCAATTTAACTGTCCACAAAATACACAAAAAAATTATATAATATCTTCAGACACCTGTTCTGATGATTACTCAATGTAATTTGCAAGGCAATAAATACAACTATTATACCTGAAGCACCATTATTTGGATGTAAATGAAACCCATTCGAGCAATTACAATATAAAGAAAATAACAAGTGTATAGTTTTCAGCTACCAAAGAGAGAGACTAATCAAGCAATACCTTAAAAGAGACTCATTGTTCCAAAAGACGACAATCACAACATACCATTGCTCCACACAGTGTGCAAGATTAAAAAAATGAATTTAAGAATCACGATTGTATTATTTTAATTGCTACAAAACAACAAACTTGCCATTGGGAAAACATAATCGCAAGGCACCCGCCTGCGAGTAAAATACATACTTCTCCAATAGCTAGGAAGAACATTTGAAATCAAACCAAAAAAAAAAATCAAAATAGCAAAAACATATGAAATTTATCTCAACAAATAAAAAAAAAATCGAACAATAGTATTATGGGCAGCAGAAGGCCTTGTGGAAGTTGTTAGAGTGAGTGTAGGCTGAAATAAGGGGGTTCATATGACAATGTCTTTTGTGGGCATTAGGTCAAACAGTTGGTGAGTGTGACCCATTGAGTTTGAAATTATGCAACGGCAAACACTGGTTTAGTGGCTTTGGTGTGTGGGATCAGAGTGTACATGAGTTGGGGGAAAAAAATAGAGAGGGGAGTTAATCAATGCATGTGAGTGTGTGCACAGAGGTGTGGGTGTGAGTGTGTGGTTGTATTGTGCTGAAGGTGGGGGTTTGGTGGATTGGGTTTGGTATGGGGTGGCATCATGGTATAGGGGTGTGTGTTGGGGATTGGAGGGCTGAGCGTGGTGGAGGCTATGGTGGTGGCTAAAATGGGTGCCTATTAAATGGGGGAAGGGAGTGAAATCTCCCCGAGAAAGTAGAGGGTGTGTGAGGAAGACAAATCTCTGGTTATCAATCGGTGCTTCAGGGATGGGAAAGAGAGAGAGACGGAGTGGGAGGGAGGGAGAGAGAAGGGAAGTAAGTGGGTGGAATTGGAGAGGTCGCAGCGACAAAGAGAAGATCAAAGAGGGAGATTGAGAGAGAGAGAGGAGGCAGAGAAAGAGATAAGATGTGTGATCGTGTGAGATAGAAGCCACGTTGAATTTGGGCTAAGAAGAGAGTCACGTGTGAGAGTAAGTCTAATGTTTTGGGCGGGAAATTATTTTTCTCAAGCTAATTTCAACCATCGGGTCAGATTTAGATAAATTTAGAAACGATCTGGATCTCAAAAAGTAAAAGTTATTTTGTTTATCTTTTAAGATTTGAATTGTATTGTATTTTATTATATAAATTTTTATTATCCATCATTTTTGGGGTTTTGAATGCGACTCCTTGCTATTAAATAGCTCAAAATACAGTAATTTCTTTTTTGTTTCTTCAGTCCGTACATGAAGGTCGCATTTATCAGTTGAAGCTGTTTTGTGACAAAGATTATCCAGAGAAGTCACCAAGTGTTCGCTTCCATTCACGGATCAACATGACTTGCGTCAACCATGAAACCGGAGTGGTACATCAGTAACTATTTTATATTTGAATTGATGCTTTGGCACTGTTGTTAATTAGGTGAAATGTCTGTGTTTTCAGATTTCTAATGAGTGTAAAATGGTGTAGTCCAATCCAATACTTCATCGGTTTTTGGGACACATTGTTTTTTCACTTCTCTCTAGTGCCAAATTGATATTGGCATTAGCCATTATCATAGGAACTTGCCTACGTGATCCTTGCAGTACATTTGCATTTTGACTATTAGATGCTGATGATAATGATATATGATTTAATAGTGCTTAAAAAATAGTTCAATTGTCACATTAAGTATCCTGTGTTATGTACTGCCAGATTTTAAACCATTATATTATTTTAGTTTCATGTTGCAGTATTACTGAAAACATGAAATATTTCAAGCAAAATTGTCTGACGCAGAGGAAATTATTATTACATGACAGACTAAGTGTCAAACAACATAACTTGGTCCAAACATCATTGGGGATGGCAGGAAATACCACTCAATGGAACAGTGACATGCTTAATATAAATTAGAGGGTAACATGGTTTCTGAGACAAGGTTTTGCCATGCTCTGCTTTAATCAGGGCCCATGAATGGGGGCATAGCCCAAGTATAAAACCTAGTGTTACTGCTGGGATTCGAGCCTAGGTCTCCAGGGCCACAATGTGGAGTTCTCACCACTAAAATACAGTCAGATGCCAGATGATATATTTTCTTGCCACCTTATTCAATCATAAAGTTGGATACTTTAGAGTATTCAACACTGTGCCTGTACTGACTGCACTTTGGCTACAATTTTAGAGTAACTTTCATCTAGAAAAAGACACTCAAACATGTATTTTATCTGTAAAGTAGATTTGAAGATAGTCAACAAGGTAAATGTATTTTGGATTATGTGTTGTATTTTGGATTATGTGTTTACCTCTAAAATCCTTGTGATTTTGTGTGTGTCCTTCTGTAAGTATAAGAGCCTCTATATCCTACATTTATTTTAACCATGTTGTTATGTTTATGGTTATTTTGGAGTTCAAAAGGCTGAAGCTGGTCCTCCTGATGGTTGTTTTCCCAAAAAATGTGCCAAAGTTATGTTTTGGCTTTAGGAATTTGGAATTTAGGAATGGTTGTTGTGATGGACTAGCCTTTTTCTGCTGATGGACTTAAAAATTAAGGCATTAGACAGCATAATAGTAGTGCCAGAAGTGTTAGAAAAAGTGGCTAAAACAGGTTTGAAAATTGTTGATATTATCTTTTTCGTTTTAGTTTTTGTTTTGTGGTGATGAGAAGTCTAGTCCCTTATGCTATAAAGTTGGCTTATGATTGCAATGGTTGATGAGGTATAATGTGTACCACTTGGTACAGGTGGAGCCTAAAAAGTTTGGACTTCTGGCTAATTGGCAACGAGAGTACACCATGGAAGACATTCTGACACAGCTGAAAAAAGAAATGGCAGCCCCACAAAATCGTAAGTTGGTCCAGCCTCCTGAAGGTACCTATTTCTAGTGTAAGGACTATATAGACTTCATGGACCGTATGGAAATCTATAGTTTGTAACGTTGTGTCAATTCTGTCGAAGTTGAGAATGTGCAGGGGAATGCCTCAAAAAGCTTCTCCTATTACTCTTATGGTTTTTGATCTGTTCAACTGCTGTCTTCTTTTGTTAACTATGATGCTTGTTTGATTAATGGGATGCTTCTGTGTAGCAATGTGTGATTATAATTAATCTCATCTTTGGTTGGTTTGTTCCATTCTTTTCGCAAGTTTTTGGGAAAATAGGAAAGAAATTGTTCCATAGTGAAATTAATCAACACACGGAATTAGTAAAAATTAACTTTTACTCGGCCTTTGTTTCTGTCGATAAAATTCATTCTTTAAAAGCTAAAAAGCAGTATCTGATTTATCATTAGTTTGTTTTTTCCAAACCAGTCATTATATTCATCCTCTCTGAAGCCTGGAAAATTGATTCCATAGCTTATCAACAGTGCATCATGCTAGTGTAGGTAGTATGTTTATGTCAAATGTTGGATGATTCAGAAATATGCAGTTTTGGATTAATGGGTGATTGTTTGGTTGCTTTTCAAAATCATTACTACATGGTGATCCAATTTACAGTTATCGTAGTAATTTGGGGCTGACCACCTTTGACCACCCACCGTCATTGTGACATGTCTATTTAGGATTGGTGAAAGAAACCAAAGAATTTTGATATCAGTAGTTTTGTAGTCTCTACCCACCCCATTTTTAACATGATGCACACATTAGGCTTTCTTGTGCTTGTTATTCATTTGCCTTGATGGAGCTTGCACTTGGATAATCTGACCCGGGCATGGATTTGATACAAACATTCTTAACTTCACTAACAGTCCTATTTGATGTCAATGTCCCCAGATTGTCTTTTGGTCTAGCATGCAATCCCCTAGTTGCGTCACATTTAGAAAATATAATCATGTTTGGCTCGATAGTTGAACACCCAAATTCTGGTCCTTCTGTTAGCTGCTTTCCTCCTGTTGCATTGGGAATGAAAAATTACTGCTCATGGAGGGCTCTTTATTAATTTGCTATTTTTGTAGCTATTGCAGTTGTGTCATTGAAGTATAGTGTTGAAAGCAGTTTGGAAAAGGGTTTAATGCTTGTTGCCTTTAGAGTTAAGTATGGAGTTTGAGCGTCGCCTCGCCTCATCTATGCAGTAAAACAAGTTGAATTAGCTGCTTTGGCTAGGAATATGTATTACAGCAAAAAGTGTCACTTTGAACAAATCATATGACATTGTTTGTGTATCGGAAGTGAAACAGTCAACGTTGGACATCTGCTTCTATCCTGGGTTAATAAGAATGCCTTTCCAAGTGAGCCAAAGTTTGATCAACTCCAAAATTTTCTTAGATTGACCTTCTAGTTAGAAGAACCAAGGGAATAAGTGTAGTTGGAGATGACTGGGTCCAAATTCAGGAACTTCAACTAATATAAAGGAAAAATGATATGGTCATTCGGTAATTACATGTTAGAAACATCGAAGCCTAGGAAAAAAAGCTGGCAAGTGCAATAACATTGTATTTGTTTGGACGATGTTGAGATCTCAAGCGTGAGTTCTAACCTTTCTATTCCCAATGTGTGTTGCTAGGTGGATGAGTATGTACACAAAGAATTTACGTCGTAGTTATTCATCGACAAAAAATAATAAAATACACTGACATTCAACGAACTCAGCTTAGTGTCATTTCAGAATTTCACTAAAAAATTCAAACCCAATCAATTATAAGGACTTAATTCAGGTACTGAATAAAAAAATTTGATACTGTATATGTAAAATTTATTAGTTTGTGGGTGATTTATTACAATAAAAAAATTTATTATTTTTGTGGGTGATTTATCATTTTTGTGAGTGTTTTTATCATTATTGTAATAACTATTTATCATTTTTATCGGTATTAAAAAAAAATTATTTTTATGGGTGATTTACCATTTTTCTGAGGATTTTTAGCATTTTTGTGGCAATTATTTTTATCACTTTTTTTAGTACTACAACAATGATAAAAATACCCACAATAATAATAAATATCGATACAATATCAAATTTTTTTTTTTTTTTTTTTGGGGGGGGGGTGGGGGGGAGTACGGTAGACAACTCCAAATTATAAACTTCTTGGGTGGGTGCATTTATAAATAGGAGACTCAACTCTCCTTTATGAAGCCACTCTTCCTCCACTTTAGTTAACGTTGGTTAGCATTTCATACCTCTATGACCACAACAGTTACTACAACAGTGGAAAAATATTCATAAATATGGTAAAAACACCGACGAATATAATAAAAATGCTTATAAATGTGATAAATTTTTTTGTACTAAAAAAAATGATAAAAAGAAGTTACCAAAAATGTGATAAAAATACTCACAACAGTAATAAAAATACTTACAAAAATAACAATTTTTTTAGCGACTCACAAAAGTAATAAAAATACCAATTAAAGTGATAAAAATTGAGGGTACGATACCGAAATTAATTCTTCGATACCGTTGTCTAAGTCCTCATACCACAAGTCCAAACTTTGAACAATGGATTGACCCAATGACACGAGCTACATCTAAAGACCAAAGATCAACTTAATTTAACGAATCTATATCCCAACATTTTTTAAGCCAGCTACATAGACCCTCTTTTGCTATTGTACTCCATTGGTTGTGCTGGAGTCACTACGATTAAGTACATGTATGGGTTTGATTTTGAGTCAGCCTAAAGTGTTGTTTGCAACTACTTTAAACCTGCAAAGTGATCCAAAACTTTATTAAGAAAAGTGAAAGGAGCAGTAAAGATGCAGGTGAGGGTCTGCAATTATGGAAAGATATCATTTTCTGTCAGCTATGAAAAGTTAAAATGCCAAGCATCAAAATGCCAAGCAGCAGATGGTGTTAGTATCCAATTCATAAAACAATGCAGTCCAGTGTCTGGATACTTTTCAGATGTTTTTTCAGATCCGAATGGTGTGTGTGTAATGGTGTATGAGGAGGGCAGATCTCCTGTATTTTTACTGTTTTCCAATTTTTTTTTTTCAACGGTCAGAGTTGTTCAAATCAATTTATGTGCACCTCGACTACTTTCCTTTCAAATCCGATCAAAAGTAGGTCATCCATGCAAGGAATTAGGGTATTTATGAAGGATAAATTTCAAAGGCATATGCGTATCTAAACTAATTCCCCTCTGATCTGGCTAAAGGCTGGTTATTCATACATGGACTAAAGTATTTATGAGGGATAAATTTCTTATAGTCTGATTCTAAAGGATTATTAAGATTCAAACTCAAGACGTCTAAATTTATAACTCGTCTCTGTTCTCATTTCAACTGCATTAGAGTTTAAACTATTACATGAGATAGCAAAAAAGGTATCCGGTGCAAAAAGGTCTTTGCTACTATATGGTGTTTGAGATAGTGAGTTGTATACACTCTTATCCAAAGTGTAAAGATGATATGTAAAATGTATATAGTCTTATCCAAAGTGCAAAGAAGTTATTTATAAATAATTATGTGAATTATTATTATAAGTGAAAAATAAATAAAAAATAATTATATAGCATGATAGTATGTTGGCTTGTTTAAATTGAGCAAAATGAGACAACTTTGAAAAAAGTTTAGTGAAATAACAACAATGCTATCTACCGGAATTTATTGTGAGTTTCAATATTATCGAGATCTATTACTAATTTAAAAACTCTAATTGAATAAGTCGGGTTAATAGTTTAAGTTTAAATAACATTTTTTGTGAAATAAAAACTCTGATTAAATCAGAGAAGTACCACCATTATATTCAATTAACTGAGCTACACTGAACGACATTTACTTCTATGGCCTGCTAATAAATGATAGACCCACCAGCCACCTCTTATTGATAGAACAATGTCTCTCACCATTCTTTTAAAATCTCCCATTCAACTCTTCTTATAATTTATTAATTTTTTATTCAATAATCAGAGTATTCGGATCAACTTGTGTGTACCTTAACTAATCTTTTATTTGCTTTGATCAAATGCATATCATCTATATCAAAACTAAAGAATTTATGAAAAATAAATTTTTTGTAATCTAATTTCAAAGAATTACTAAAATTTAAACTCAAATTATCTGTCTTTACAACTCAATTCCGTTATCACTGGATCTACTTGGTTTGTGTCACTATTTATTAATGCCTCAGTAAAAAGAACTCCATTTACAACCCAAAAAACACGAGCTAAAGTGTATCTTTCAAAATGAAGCTTCCTTCTCTTCTCAAAACCAAAGAAGCAAGCTCCTCATGGCCATGGCCAACTTGTGGAAGCCCTAGAACCATCTCTTTCAGGGCTGGCAATGACATTTTCAAGACAATAAACTCCGCCTTCATCGACTCTTCCAATACCCTGCAGTGCAAAGAGTCTCGTACATTGGACCGCCCTTTTTTAAACTCGGCCAACGTCGAATCTGTCATTGAAGTTGCAGGCACACCAGAACGCTGGTTCACCAAGTCATCCGAGTCCACAAGCTTTTCAGTAGCCTCAGAAGACCCCTTCGGCGAGCCGATAGAGACGGTGATTCGAGGGTTGAGGTCAGAGAGGCTGTTTTTCGAGCCCGGAGAGACAAGTTCAATAATGGAGGAGGCTAAGACAGATGGGTTTTTATTTAAAGAAAGTGTGGTTATGGCAGTGGATTCTTGGGACCCTTTTGTGGACTTCAAGAGGTCAATGGAGGAAATGGTGGAGGCTCATGGGTTGAAGGAATGGGAGTGTCTTGAAGAGCTTTTGAGTTGGTATTTAAGGGTCAATGAAGAAAGCAATCATGGTTACATTGTTGGAGCTTTTGTGGATTTGTTGGTTAGTCTTTCTTTTGTTTCTTCTTCTTGTTTTGATGATCATTGCTCATCTATTACTCATTCTTTTACTTCTCCATTGTCATTTTCTTCTTCCACTTCTACTAGTCCTTGTTTATCTTCATTAGAAGCTGAGGATGAGATTGAGAAAACAGTGGACAATGCTTCTTCCTCAGATGTTTGATTCCATGGAAAATATGTACTTAGCGGAGTTTTAGAATGTTAGTGGAACTCTCTCTCTCTCTCTCTCTCTCTCTCTCTCTCTATGTGTGTGTGTGTGTGTGTTAAAACAGTTAGATTAAGTGATGAACAGCTAATCTAAACACAATTACAAGCAAGAAAATTGGAAAGGGAAGCTGCTGCAATCCAATGCGCTGCCTGTTTTTTAAGAACTTAGGCTTAAAAGCAAATATATATATATATAAGTAATGATAGATGAATTTAAAAATTAGATTTAAAAATTAGACTTGATAATCTCAATCATTGAATAGGTAGTGAGTCCCAATAAATACTGGGACCCATAGTGAAATCAATATTTGAGATTATCAAATCTAGTTTTTAAGTATAATTTTTAAGTTCATGTAGCATTTCTCATATATAAGCTGGATGGTTGGTTATTTGTCTTAGCTCTAACTTGGTGGAAATTTGAAATTAAATCACAATTACCAACGAAACAAGCTTGCATCACTCAAACTATCCATTACTGTATCGGTGGGGTAACATGAGTTTGATTAAAATATGGTTTTGAGTGAAGATGTAGAAAAGGGTTTGCTTCAACGGCATTGTGTAATTAATGCCACGCTGAATTCCATGTGGGTTTGGTGGTGTTGGCTTGTTTAGTATTAATCACCTGCACCAAGAAACCCATTTCTCCCTCGTTTACTTGTTGCTGTGATTGAATATCCATCATCCAATGAGCTCCTCACGTGGGTCCCACTCACCAATATATCATCACGATGAATCGATCGTGGCCGTCAGTTTCAAATTGGATAGTCATTGTCATTTTTTATTTTTTATGTTTTATTTTTTTTTATCAGAGATAGTCATTGTCATTTGATAGTTACAATTCCAGTGCAGAAATTTGGCTTGGTTCTACACTCATATCCCCACACCTGCAACATTATCATAGCCCCTCGTATTCAAAAATGTCTCTATTTTTACTGAATCATGAAATATGGATAAGTCTAGACTATCCACAATTTGGTTTGATTAATTTGCAGCTATTGATCGAAAAACTCCTATAAAAAGTAAAGATACGGTTTAACACGCTATAAGAATTAGAGTTTTTTTAGACAAGTTTTTTGTAACAATTGTGTTCACCACCGTAACAAAAAATTATGTTTTGAAGAAAAAAATATTTTTGTAGCGATAGTGACATCATAAAAAGAGTCTCAAAAAGTCTTTGTGGCGGCAACACCCCGTCTCAAATAATATTGGCAATATCAAATAAATCTTTTGTAATAGCACTACCGCTGCAAAAATATTTTTTTCATCAAAACACACGTTTTTTTAAAAGATAAAAACAACTGTTAAAAAATTTGTCTCAAAAGACTCCAATTCTTGCAATGACGATAACGGATTTCATGAAATATAAAGATTTTTTTAGAGTTCAAAAAACAAAAATTACTGCTTTGGAATGAAAACAAACCACTTGCCATTCAAGCTTCTTATGGCTACAAGATTTTTCAGATAAAACTAGGATAAAAAGTCCTTGTGGGTTTTCTGTTAGGGCAACTTATCACCTCAGTCCTCACTGGCCAAAAGGACTTGTGTCTCTCTGTGTCTTAAAAAAGCCAACTAAATGTTGGAGGAGAAAACAAGAAATGAAAATTGTTCTTTGTGGGTGAGGGAGAATGTCACTAGCTCCCACAAATGCATGTGTTGGTGGTCCTAAAGGTTCACTTGTATTATTGAATCTGATTTTTGATGAAGATGCACATGCCCAAATGGTATCATTCTAGATATTTCTCACAATGGATAAGTAACAAACACATATACTTAGACTCGTGACTCCAACATAAACCTCGAACGTATTCAATTATACATGCATCATGTGCTTGAAATTATATATGGAAAATAAAGAAAACTTGAGATGGATTAATTTCAATTTTTCATTGAATAATGCTGCATTTTGAAAAAAATTCAATATGCATGTATCTTCAAATGCAGAAGTAAAACCATGTGTAGATGGGGAGTTCAATGGTAGGTTGACACGCATGTCTAATGCCAATGTCTCAAAGGATGAGTAGGATAAGATGGATAGAATGAAAAGAATCGAGCTATCTATTAATTTTTGAGACCAACTTTTGGATAAAAAAAAATTCGGGTAGGTAGAGACAAATGAATATTCTCGCACTAGCCAGACTGTCTATCTTAGACAGGGTAGTTGTGTATGTATTGTAGAAACAAACGATATTTATAGTAGAAGTACTCGGGCAGATTAGACTTCGTGCGACTGCCTCTATACAAGAGTCAATGGCGTACATGACAATTGTGCCTACCTACAACTACCTAGACTATATTTATACAAAGGGTTGCACATGCGTCAGGTTTCCCAAGCACTAATTGAACAAATGTGGTGTTTCTGGTATAGGAGTAAATGTCTTGCTAGCTAATACAAAATCTCAGAGCCCATATTCCTCACGTAACTGGTGTCTCCAACAGCTGGATATCCTTGCTATATCTCCAGAATCAATCCTGTTGTAACTTATCTCATTATTAGAATATCAGTTACCTTATTCTTAGGTTATTTGAATTTCATTCTGTTTATACTTTCTCCTTGTATTCTCTATATAAACACACAATCACATAATACAGATTAAGTCCTTTCATCATTTTAATTCTTGATCTTGTCAGAATCTTTATGGTATCAGAGCATCACGCTCCCACGAGCACTTAGACCTACCTCTCATTCTCATGGCTGAAACCACTCAAATAAATTCTGTTTCTGCCTCTGTTGTGACTACCCCTACTATTGCAGCACCAAACTCATTGATTGCAATCAATGCCGCAGCACAACTGCCCCTCAAACTCACGTCATTAAACTACTTGTCTTGGCGTGCTCAGTTCAACGCTCTCCTCATTGGATACGATCTAATGCGTTATGTGGATGGTTCTCATCTAGAACCACCTAAAACCATCGGTGATGCACCAAATCCTGATCATCTTCTATGGCTTCGACAAGATCAGCTTCTGTTGCACTCTATTATTGCCTCTGTCTCAAAACAGATCATGCCACTCATTGCCTCGGCAACAACCTCTCGTACGACATGGGAGAAACTTAAAACTCTCTATGCGAATCGCTCACAATCCAGAGTTATGGGTCTCAAGGAATGACTCACCGCCACCACTCATGGCTCCAGCCCTATGGGTGAATTTCTGAACACAATGAAAAGCATATCTGATGAGCTCTCAATCATAGGTGAGCCTCTTGGTGATATTGATCTTGTTGTCCATGTCCTAAATGGTCTTGGCCCAGCATTCAAAGAGATTGATGCAGCGATTCGTGCCCGAGAAAACCCCATAAGCTTTGAAGACCTTCATGATAAACTTGTGGAGAATGAAAATTTTCTCAAACGTGATGAGGCGCGTGCTGAGCCTCCAACAATCACGACCAATGTCACTCAATGGTTCGGACAATCCAACACCTATAATTCCAGGCTCCACTTCAACAACAAAGCCTCTTCTCCAAACACCTTTAACAATCATGGGCATCAACAATCTTCCAACTTCAATCGTGGTTACCAAGGCTCAAATCAGTACCAGAAGAAACGCCCAGGCTAGGGTTACAAAGGTTTTTGCCAATTATGTGATCAACAAGGCCATAGCGCAAAGCACTGCCCTCGTATCCGCCCTGCTCCACACTGCCAACTACACTGTCACTGTTCCACCACAGTCACAAACTTGGCTCCTCAACTCAGTCGCATCTCATCATGTCACAAATGATCTCAATAACCTCTCACTCTCCTCCGAATATGAAGGTTCAGATGCTATTGTAATAGGTGATGGCACAGGTTTACGCATAACTCACACTGGCACTGCAACTCTTCCCACTCCTTCTGCTACTTTTTCCTTATCTAATGTTCTTTGAGTTCCCTCTATCAAGAAAAATCTGCTTTCCGTTTCTCAATTCTGTAAATCAAATAATACATCTATTGAATTCTTTCCTGCTTATTTCTTGGTGAAGGATCTTCGCACGAAGGCGACTCTCATTCGTGGCCAGAATAATAATGATGTGTACGTGTGGCCTAAGTCGTTGTCTCCTATGACACACCTACAAGCTCTGGTTGGTGTGAAGGCTTCCCTATTCAATTGGCACAGACGGCTTGGTCATCCCTCCTCTAGGATTCTCACACATCTTGTTGCCTCTTGCACCCTTCCTCTCTCTGCTTCTCCCACTAAAATAAATTGTGACTCATGTTTTTGTAATAAAAGCCAGCAGCTCCCTTTTTTATGTATCTTCTCTCAAGAGCCATGGTCCCTTAGATCTGCTCTACACAGATGTTTGGGGCCCCGCTCCAGTAACTTCAATAGAAGGTTATCATTTTTATGTTATTTTTGTTGATCAATTTACACAATATATTTGGTTCTACCCTATTTTGTCATAAATCTGATGTTTTTACTATCTTTCCAAAGTTCAAAGCCATTGTTGAAAACTACTTTAAAACATCTATCGTGACCACTTACTTGGATAACGAGGGGAAGTACATCAAAATGAAAGACTATTTTGCCAACCATGGCATCACCCACATAACTACTCCCCCACACATTCCCCAGCACAATGATGCCGCTGAACGTCATCATCGGCACATAGTGGACACGGGTCTTACCATGCTCCATCAAGCCTTGCTTCCTCTCTTCTTATGGCCTCATGCGTTTCAAACTACCACTTACTTTATTAATCTCCTCCCTACTCCCATTCTCCATCTTAAATCCCCTTTTGAATCTCTTTTTGGTGCTCGGTCCAATTACCTAAAGCTTCGTGTATTTGGGTGTTTGTGCTACCCCTGGCTATGTCCTTATGCCAAGCACAAACTTGACTCTCGCTCGCACCCATGTGTTTTTCTAGGTTATTCCTTTACTCATAGTGCCTATAAGTGCCTTGATCTCAATACCAATCGCATGTTCATCTCTCGCCATGTCCACTTTGTTGAATTCGAATTCCCGTTTGCGGCCTCTTCTCATGCATATATATCCCTTCAAACCATTCCCAATTGGACATGTTCATTTGAA